CTGATGTTAGCCTTCCCACGAGCCTCAATATGATCGGCAATATGAGGCTTGATGTTAGCCTTAGCAAGAGCCTCAATATGATCGGCAATATGAGACTCAATGATATCCTCTGCCTCGTGAGCCGCATCAATCATACGCCCCTCCAACCCATCTGCATCATCATCATCAATAATATAGTTTTCAAGAAACTGCATCAAGAAAGCAACCATTTGGATAAGAGGCTTGATTTGTAGTTTGTCGAGGGAGATGGGTGGGCGGGGGTGATTTTGGATTTGGTCTATGATGTTTGTAAGAGAAAGCAGAGCTGCATAAGCTGCCATGGATCCCCTGTTGGTGAAATGAAATCCAATCAGCTATAGCTAGGGAAAGTGTATGATGAGAGGTGAAAGTAGGAAGATATTTCTCAAAGGCTTGTGAAGAAGAAGAAGAAGAAGAAGAAGATCCTCATATGAATGGTAAATGATAGATATTAGGTACAAGGTCAGTTTCCAGTTGGGACCAAAGGTAGTGAGCAGCAGCCCATCTTGACCAATAATGTCATAATAAAACCAATAATTCTGCTCATGGTAATGTACTTAGCTTTTGACCAGCCCACCACATAAAATTCGCAACCAAATGAGCTCTAACATACTTTGCAAACATGAAAAAAAATAATAGAGAAAATTGATAGCAACGGATCTCCCTATCGAGCCATGATACCTCCCGCCGGCCGCCGACTCCGTGGTGCCTTCCGCCACTACCTCCGCCGCCGCGGTTCCTTTCTCCGCCGTCGCCGCTGCTACGGTTGCCATCCCTGGTGGAGCTCATGGCTTAACAAAGCGAAATATTGGGGCAATTGAAGAGATTTGGAATGTCGCTGATAGGTGGGGAAAAAGGCGGAGTTTGCACAGCTCATAATGTAAAGCAATAGTTGATTAGTGGTATTTGAGATGGAATAAATTGTAAATCCTCCCTATATATAATTCCAGAATGCGCTGAGCCTACGTGGCTGCTTCGGAATCCTATTTGGCGAAGAATCATGCTTGGTAATACACGGGTGTTGTACTAGTATATATATGAAATAATAAATTTTAAGTAGAACAAAAAAATCATAAAACGGCTATTTTTGTTATTTTTTAAACAATTTTGAAAAAAATAATATATGAGAATTATAGGTATTAAAATTAATGAATGTATATAATTGTTTTAAGAAGTATTCTCAATCTAAATATTGTGCAATTATTATATTTAAAATCTTAAAACCTGCATTATTACATTTTGATTTACCATTTTTTTTCTAAAGTAATCTATGTAATTATCAACTTTTGGGATATGTTACGGTCCCATTACGGAATAATTCCGTCGGAATTTGTAACTGTTAGATCAACTATTTCCAACGGTTACATTATGATCTAACGATTACAAACCTGACGACATTACCGTAACGGGACTGCAGTATTTTCCTCGACCTTTAGTGATGACTATTGAAATTTCTAAAATTATAAAGTAGTTGGAAAAACTAAATTACAAATATTTTTATATGCACAAACAAGTTCACCCATTTCAAATGTTGACAATAAATAAAAGTTTGTATTCCCTTTAAATACTATCATGCTATTTTTAAATTTTTATTAAGAAATAATTTCTCCATTTTTAAAAAAATATTTCAACACTATTAAAAAGAACGAGTGAGAATCTCGTGCAATGCACGGGGATTTCGTTAAGTAAAATATTTTTTGCAAATTTTTATTTAATAATGTATTAGCCCTTTGATCTATTTATATTAATATAAATAACATTTTAACTGAAAGAACACTGAACACCCCGAAACCCAGAGAACTGGGGAAAGAGAAACTAACTCAACGCCTCAGCTCCAGCCCACCAACTCGAAGTCACAAGGACCCTCAGCTACATAAGAACCCAACCCTGAACCGCACGCACCAAGCCCTACCTCCCAACAATAAGCCATAGCCACAGAGCTCCGCCAAATTTCTGAGAGAACACAAAAGCACAGAGCACCGTCAATCGCAAACGGAAGAGAATCGAGACACGAACGACAAAAAGAGGTAACTTACCCTTGATCGAGTCCGACAAAATCGAAATCTCGACCAGGCTTCAATCAAAGGCTCGCAACCTACAATTACCCTTCCGCCGGCGAAAAGGAGCAGTGCAGACCGACATATTCCCGACATATATATTTGTTTTTTAATAAAAAATAATAATTTTACATATTTTAGTTCATCATAATACTCAAATATTATTTTATTCAAAAATTTGTTGTCGTATAATGTCAATATTATTTATAACATTTATAGAAGTAATATTTCCTTTTTATATAATGATAAATATTTAATGTATATTAATATCGTTTATTGCGATTAATTTTAAAATATATAAGTAAATTTAATGTATGTTAGAATTGTGATAGATCTCGATATTTTAGGTACAAATATATGATATGCATGTACAAATATATGATATGAATATCTTGAGATACAGAAAAAAAAAATTATGTGATTTATTACCTTAATTAATCAACCGAAATTACCTGAATTGTATCTTTAAAACATACCATAAAATGTTTAAATAGTTTTCAGAATTAGTAGACAATATTTTTTTGGCGAGAAATAGTTACTGTTTAAAAATTAATCAAACCTTTTAATACAGACTAGTGCGTATCTCGTGCGATGCACGGATATATAAATTTGGAGAATATTATAATTTGACATGCATTAGGATATATGAGAGTTTAATACATACGAACATTATTCATCATAAAATGTTCGTCATTAAAAAATCTTATATTATTAAAACCTCTTTGTATACAAATATGAGTTTGATTATTGTTTAACTCGTTGTGAGGAGCACAGGCCGACTTCGGCCGAACGCGGGCTGCACAAAGGGCTGCGGAAATTGGGCCTCACTCAACTGGGCTCCCTTGTTGGGCTTCTATCCTGGGCTGCAGATGCTGATTGTTGTCGCCAAAAAAATTGCTCCAACGCTTGGACAATTTTTCTAATTTCCAACTATATTATAAATCATATTTTATTTCAAGTTTAACTTTTTCATTCCTATTTTATGAAGATAGTTATTGTACATTCCTAGCTATACTAATAAAGTATGTTTTTAGTTTGAATCATGTAACTTCCTTAGTAATGAGTTGAATAATTTATAGATAGAACCATAATTTAATGATTCTCTCTAATTTCTCTCCCTCTCCATTTTTCATATTTCATAGTATTTCACAATTTTCTCCAAATAAAACAAAAAATTACATACAACAATTATTAGGTTGACCACCAAATAAATCAAAATAAGACTGTAAATAAATGTAAAATTTTCCTTAATAATTTCTGTATTGTTTTGAAAATAATAATTGCAATGTTTCAGGTTCGACACAAAATTGGTTTCTTTGTTTTTTATTAATTGTTTATGAATAAGCTATATATCTTAATTTTTGTTCAAAGTTGGTTTATGTTTTATTTTTATCATCAGATATATCATGTTAGTCATCATTGGACATAAACTCATAGGATTTGATGTTAAATATGCATTTAGATTTTAACTTGTGCAATATAAATGTAAAAAATACAGAGAATATAATAACGCTAAATTTAGTTTATTGGAATGTGCACAACAATGAGAAAAATGTGATTTTCTAAATTAAATTTTCAGGATAAATGCATTGCCAAATCATAAATTTCCGCAAGCAAGGAGCTTGCTCTAATATATTATTCGAGATTTCAGTGCCGATGGCCGTTTTTTTTACGGTAATGCAAGTAGAATTTGGGTAAAGTCGAATGGAAAACGTTTTTGCAAATCTGTAGATGAGAATGAATTTAGAAGAACCGTATTTATAAGAATATATACATTATTAAAATATGAAAACAATAAAGAGTCCCAAGACTTGAAAGCCGTGTAATTAATATTTAATTAAACATATAAATTATCGATATGTTTAATTTTATAATACCATATAAGTTAGATTTGTTTCCAACCACTACATCTTATAATAACTGGTATGTAGAGATTTTCATAATTAAAAAAAAAAAAAA